GCCTGTCTCCGCTGCCACCGTCCCGGGGTTCTCGAGGCTCAGCTCCTGTCCCCGCCTGCCTGGTCACCCTCCATGAGCCCCCCCCCCACCCTCGAGGAACACAGGAGACCTCGGGGCTGCCCATCACCAGAGGCGTTTCGCCCGGGTCCAGCGATGGGAGAAGCGTCCGCACCCAGCGGCCCCGGGGGCCAGGCCGCGGCCCTACCATCCCAGCAGCCACTTCACAGATTATCACAATTATCAATCCGTCACCCCGCCTGGACAACGCCGGTCGGACGCCTTTTATGACCTGTAGCACTTGGTGGGTAATAACGGGGGGAGATTTATGGACCCATCACACTCCCTCCTCCAGCAGCAGGACTTGATGGGTTCCATTTATTTTGGACTCTCCTTCCCAGCCCCGGCCCCGGCCCTCCCTGCGAGCGCCGCCGGGCGGCCGCCGCCTGCCGGGCTGCTGCAGAGGCACCCGGCTCAGCCCCCCGCCCTAGCCTCGGAGCCCACAGATGCAGCGGATTCCCGATTTGTAGGTTGGCAATGCGGGGGGGGGGGGGTGTAGGTCTGGTGGAGAAGGGGGAGAGAAAATAAAGGCAAAGAAAGAAAAAGGCCCCTTTCCTTTGTGTGCGTGGGCTCCGGCCGCACTGCGCTGACACGTCCGTCCTTTTCGGGGCCGCCCGGGAAAACGCGAGGGGCACAGAGCAAAGGCTATCGGGGCCCACGCTTCCCCTTTCCTAGCGCCGCAGAGATTGAATCAAAATTCTTTTAGCCGATACCATCTCCCCGGGTGGACGGCACTCTTGTTAACGGATAAATGCAAGCTCTCCAGAAAGTAAAGAATACATTTAAGCCTTTTGCCAAATGTCTATCCTATTGGATTTTGATAAGACGGCCACTGAGCCTTAATAATGTCTTCCATCCATTTTCAGCGGGCCGGCCCTTCACGCGGCCCTTTATTCGTCCCCAAAGCCTCTTCGGCCGGCCTTTTTATTACGGGCTGCGGCGGGCTCTCCCGGGAGCGGCGGCCCGAGTGACGGATGGGCCACGGGTTAGATTATCTCCCGCAGACGCTGGCTCCCCAGCAGCCCCGGGCTTTCCCGCTAAGTAAACAGAGACTAAATAGAGTCGGCGGAGGGGGCCGTCCCAGAGGTCCCGCACAGGCGACGCAGCAGGCGACGCACAGCCCAAGTGACTTCAGGGGAAGAGAGAGCGCCAGGCCCGCGCGGTGGGGGGCGGGGCGGGGCGGGGCGGGGCGGGGCGGGGCGGGGGGGGGGCGGCCCCTGGGCCCGCGAGCGCGGTTCCGAGTGTCACGAGAAGCACAAGTCCCAGCTGCTGGGGCTGCCGGGTGGACAGGAGGGCAGGGGAGGATGCAAGAATGTGGGGACAAGGGATGGAGAGGGGGCTGGGAGGGGAGGGGGTGCCGCAGGGGACACCGGGACGGAGGGTACTCTGGCCAGACACCCAGCTCAGCCAGGCGGTGGCTCCGCCCCTTCTGGAGGCGGGGCCAAGCCTGGCGCTGCTCACAAGCTGCTCCACCTGTCACTCCAAGGGCAGCCTCGCCCCGGGGCCACCGATCCCGCTTGCCCCCGTTCAATCCTCATCCCCTTTGTCGTGTGAACTACGCCAGCCGGCCTGGGCCTGGGCCTGGGCCGTTCGCGAGTAAACTCGGAACAGATGGATTCCCCAGCCCCTTCGGCACCCAGGCTCTCTCTCTAGTAACGAGGACCTACCACTGCGACTTCCCTACAAGACGTGACATTCGCTGCATTTCCTGTGTCAAGCCACGGGTTGAGCTAACGAACGTTTGTTGCATTTAACGGCTGCAGGCGGAGAACAAGAAGTATAATCTTCCTCAGGTTGGAAGAGATGAAGCTCAGAGATGTCCACTGACCCCCTCAAGGAAGCACAGTGCCCTGGTGCTCCCCCAACACGTGTTTGAGACCCCCCACCCTGACCCCGTGTCTCTGGGCGAGGAGGGGCCCTGTCCAGCCAGACGCAGAAATCCCAAACCACAGAACTGGTGAGTGGGAGTCTGTGTCCCGTTACCAGGGAATCCACCTCATTAACCTTTAAAATGGCGCACGAAAGCACGTATAGTTATATGTACGATAAGCTTAGGAGCGAGGGAGGACCCCCCCACCCTGAAAATGGGATTATCGTCTGGGGGGCGGGTCCTTTGTAGTCCAGGCTTCCCCCGCCAGGTGAGTGCTCTGGGGACCCACCTGTGTCAGCGCCCCAGCCGGCGTTGTCTTGAGGGGCCGTGATTGGCTTCGGTGAGTCTTTGAGACTCTTTCAGCACATTTGCCCGGGTCCTGGGTGGTTTACGAGCGCACCTGCCCACACAGCGCTGAGTGCTCAGCCGTTTTTGACCAAAAACAGTATAACCCCCCCGTGCCCCACCCTCCTTGTTCGCCCAATCCCACCCCGAGTGACTTTTTTGTTTGTTTCCAGGGGGAAGAGGTGAAGCAAAAAACGGCAGAAGCGCCACAGGGACCGGAATCGGGCGTCCGAACCCGGACTCGAGCGGTGGGGGAAAGAGCCTGCACTGGTGAGCTGCATCGGGTGGAGAGGCCGTCGACGGTGACGGAAGTTTAAACGTGTGAGAATAAACACACCATTTCTTTATAAATAACTCCAGATATTGGGCCCCCCTCGTGTCTCCCACCCTGTGACTGACATCTCTCTGTCCACCAGGCGGGGCCTTCGGTTTGGGAAGACGGTCACATGAGTGCCGTGCTGCTTCGTCTCCCGACCCCACGCACGAACCCCTCTGCTTCTGCTCACGTCTCTCTCTGTGCCAGCCCCCCCAACCCCCTCCCAGAGCTGAGGGGGACGGCAGCACCAGACTCAGGCTCCCACCCTGTCACCGTCGCACCGACCGTGTCACACTCAAGAACCCCAAGTGCTAATAAGGTCCAAGTTTAGTGGGAGATTGGTGCCGTTCTGGGGTTCAGGGGATGGAGCGGCTGGGGGAGCAGCTGGGGAGGTGGGCAGAGCCCCCTCCAGGGAGCCCCCTCAGAGCAGGGCCGGCTGCGCGTCAGAAAGGTTGCTCCCAAATAGGTGACAGCCAAGGCACCCTGCCCCTCTGGTCCCCCTGGCCCCCTGGCGCCCCAGCCCCGGGCCCCGTCCCTCTCTCTGGTGACCCTCGACCCCCCCGTGCCAAGTCGGGGAGCTGTGAGCGAGGCTCTGGCTGGAGGGCACCCTGCACCCAGCCGTGAGCAGCCCCCGAGAAAGGCCCCTGGACCCTGTCAGCCAAGGCCCGGTGGCTCCGCCGTTCACGAAAACACGACTCCAGGACAGAGGACGTGCTGATCTTGTTCTGGTTCAAAAGTGTCACACTTGCTCCTCACCAGTCTTGACCTTAGACTTGACCTTTGGCCTTCTGCCCTGCCCCTTGTACCCGGGCTGGACAACCGACTGCCGCTGCTCCCACCACAAATGCTTCTTCTCTGACCTCCGGCCAGGCCGCCCCCCCACCCCCCGTCAGGGGAAGTCCGCCTGGGGTCGGCCGGTCAGGTACCCAATTGTGGCGTGAAAACAGAGATGTCACGTTCCCTCTGGACGTTGAGACAGGAGCGGCCTCAGGCCCTCTCTGTGGGAGGCGACTACACCTCCACCCCCAGGCCTGTGGGCGAGCCCCCCACGTCTGCCCCCGCACGGCCCTGTGGAGACAGGGCCCCGCGCAGCAGCGGGGAGGGGGAAGACAGCTGTCGGGGTCCATGGTGGGCGTCCCGGGCAGGGGCCTGGGCTGGATGGTTGTCCCGGTGTCGCTCAGACACAGTGGTCCCACAGGGCCCGACGGACAAGGTGAAAAGGTCGCCTTGACAGAGCTCCTGCAGGAGGTCGCCACAGGGTCAGAAAATGCCTTTTCCCCAAATCCACATCCTGGGGTTGAACCAGGTGAGAAGGCGCAGGTGCCCCTGTCCTTAATATACAGGTCACAGGTCCGCCTAGACGGCAGGTCCCCCTGTCCTTTACATACAGACCACGGGTCCACCCAGACGGCGGGTCCCTGCGCTCCTTATATACAGGTCACGGGTCCACCCAGATGGTAGGTTTCCCCATGCCCCTTACATACAGGTCATGGGTCTGCCCAGACGGCGGGTCCCTGTGCTCCTTATATACAGGTCACGGGTCCACCCAGATGGTAGGTTTCCCCATGCCCCTTACATACAGGTCACAGGTCCACCCAGACGGCGGGTCACCCATGCCCCTTACATACAGGTCATGGGTCTGCCCAGACTGCGGGTCCCCCATCCACCTTACATACAGGTCACGGGTCCACCCAGATGGTAGGTTTCCCCATGCCCCTTACATACAGGTCGCGGGTCTGCCCAGACGGCGGGTCCCTGTGCCCTCTGCCTCCGTGGAGAACTCTGTCCAGATGACTCAGCTCTGACCACCCCGCAGGTACACAAAGAACCTGGGGCAAGTCTGGCCAAACTCTTCACGCTGGGAGCGAGGGTGGGGGCTGGGGCCACCGCCTGGGAGCTCAGCTCCCCGCCTGCCGGAGCCGTGAGCACGCACTCTGGGATTCCGACCGTGAGAACACGGCCGGTGCTGACCGGCCAGTCCCTGCAGCCACCGGCTGCGTCCTGACCCCGCTGGGGCGTCCGCAGCCATGCGACTGAAGACAGTCGCTTCCTCCTGCTGTCCGGCTGCTCGCTCAGCGCCCCGCAGAGCCCTCTCCGGGGCCGAGCACGGACAGCAGCGACCGTCGGCTCTGCAGCCACTCCCGTCTCTTCCTCCCTACACCCCTCCCGCCCGTGTGCGCGCCCAGTGGAGACGGGCAGGTGGCCGGGCTCCTCGCGCCGCCTGGGCGGCCGCGCGCCCGCAGGCACGGGCTCTGCTCGGTTCTCGGGAGCTGGGCAGAGTGGCCCCCACCTGCCCATCCTAATGACAGGGCACCCCGTTCTGTCCCTGCACAGGCCACAGACAGGGTGGCTCAGGGCGGGCGGGGCGCCCACGGCGGGGCCCGAGGGGGCACGCAGCAACGGCTCGCCTACCTTTTGGACGCAGCTGTCCTGCGGCGACACCTCCTCCGTCAGCATCTGCTGCAAAACAAGTTGGAAAGGGGCTGTTAGTCCCTGACCACACGCCGCTCTCGGGCCGCGGCCGTGCGCCGCGGGGGCGGGGCACTGTTCTCCGAGACGGTGTGCGGGCAACCTGGTGGCTTCTCCGTGACACGACAGAAGTGCCCTGTCTGGGGGCCGGGGCCCCCCTCATTCCTGACCATGTCCCCCCCCCACGTTCGCTGAGAGCGGTAAGGACCCCCCTGGGGGCGTCGCCTCCCTGCAAAGTGGCTCGGCCCCTCGGCAACTGTGCGGAGGCCCGGCACGTCCTCGAAGTGGAGAAGCTTGTAACAGACGCTCTGCTTGCCCCCTCCGAGTGCCACCAGCAACGCGGGCGGCCCGCGCTTGGGGGTGACTTGGTCCGTGCTCAGCCAGCCCGGAGCAGAGGGGGGCTCCTGCCTGGCGGCTCTCGCGCAGGCCTGGGGTTAGGCCTCGCGCAGAGAGGAAGGGCTGGCCCTCAGGGTTCCCCTCCGCAGCCTGGCCCAGAGCTCTCCTGGGCTCGGCTCGGAAGCTGCGGCACTGGGCCTGGCCGGCGACTCCCCCTAAAAACCGCCGGGTTCCCCCCCCCTGCGGGCGGCCTGTCAGGGGACGGCCCCAGGGCGCTGCCCACACCGAGCGAGCAGACAAGCCAGCTGCATCTGCGGGGGTTTCCCTCCTGGACCGAGGGGCCGCGCAGAAACACACGTGGAAATCGGAACGTCATCTCCGTAAGAACGAAAACCGAGACTGACACTAATATTCGAGAGATCAAACAGGAAGCGGCGTCGGAACCAGGGGTGTTGTCCCCTCCCCCAAAAAACCGCACCGTGGACTTCCGCATCCCGAGCAAGAGTGGCGCGGCCGGCAGCGCCCACATGGGCAGGTGAGCAGACGGGGGGGGCCCCGTTCCAAATCGCGGGCACACGTGCCCGGGCTCAGCTGTAATAACAATAAGTCATACATTTTTAAACGTTAAAAATTCTACCCAGTTGGGGATCTTATGTTTCTCTTAATAGACTCTGAAACTGTGGTTTGGAAAGCGACGCTGGCGAACAAGGAGCAGAGACAGAGAAGGTGAGCGGGGGGGGGGGGGGGGGTGGCCGCCCCACGGCCCCAGGGCGTCCTCGGAGACCAGGGCACCGGGGGCCTGTCCCTGCTGGGCCTGGGGCTGCCCAGGGGCCCGAGGGCAGCCAGCGGGCAGGCCAGTCCCTCTGCGCGTGCGTCTGCCTGGTCTCCACTCTGACCCAGCGCCGAGAAACCAGCGAGGCCCCATGGGCCCCGGGACAGGAGGAGAGAGGCGGACCGGCCTCAGAAAAGCCGGTGACCGAACCTGCCCTTCCCGGGCCAGAAGCAGGAAAAGGTGCTTTGACTTTTCTAAGGCACACGGTCCCGACAGCCCGGGACCTAACCATGTGAGGGGCCCTGTGACGGAGGCGGCGACGCTGTGCCAGCCCGGGGGGCGGCCCCCGCCCAGCACCGCCCACGAGGAGGCCGAGGCACGTCCAGTCACCCCACAACTGCTGGGAGCCTTCCCAGGGAGGGGGCTTCAGGGACCCCTGTGCACGGACGCCTGTTTGCCTCGCACGGCAGGAGCGCCTGCCGCGGGCACCACGGGCCCCTGTGACCCCAGATGCAGCCGGTCACCTCGGTCACAGGGCCGCCTCGGTCACAGGCACTGACTCCGGGCGCTCACTGAAGCCGCCGCTGGAAGACCGGGGAGCGTTCCGGGGTGTGGCCTGCCCAGGGGCCTGGGTTGTGGAACCCCTTCAGGCCTAGGGAAAGGGAGGGTCGGCCCCACGTGGTCTGGGGCTCCTGAGAGTGCGGACCAGGCTCAGGCGGGAGGGGAACACCGGCTCACGGGGCACGCTGGGCCTCCAGCAGCCGAGGCTCGGTCTGTGGGTCAGGTGCGCATTAAAGACGAGGCAGGAACCGGCCCCGCCCACTCCCAGGCCACGTGGTTGAAGGCGTGGTCTCTCTGGGGTTCCCGGAGAAGCCAGGGCTACCTGCCCACGTGACACCGGCGACCACGACCCCCAAGCCCCAGGCCCGCCACCGGCGACCACGACCCCCGAACCCCAGGCCCGCACGGTCGCCTCGCCCCCCACACCTCACTGCTCACACCGTCCTGAGCCCGTCCCCGAGCTGGATGCGCCCTGTGGTCATGCAGGGGTCGCCGGCCTCCTGCTGGGCCTGGCCAGGAGGCCCCCCCCTTCCAGTGGGGAGATGGTGCACTGGAGAGTCCAGGTCAGAGCTGGACTGAGGGTCATGGTCACGGACACGGCTCGCCCCATTGCTGCCTGGAGGCCATTGGCACCGGGTGCCCACACCTGCGCCTGCCGGCCCCCAGCACAGGCCACGCTGGGCCCAGGGTGGGCGCTGCCCCTCTGCCCCGGTGCCTCTCCTGCAGCACCCGCCATTCCTGCCACGGTCAGTTCGGCCAGCTGGGTCTTCACGCTGAGGTTCGGTGGCCTTGACCTTCCTCCTCCCCCTGCTCCCCACGACCCAGTCTTGGAGAGGTAGCGGCGGGGATGACTGGGCAGGTTCGCCCCTCGCTGTGGCCAGCCCGTAAGCACTGGGGGGCTCCGGGAGAAAGGGGGCTCATGGCCATCTCACGGAGCGGGTTGGAGAGTCCCTCGGGCCGGGGGCCGGGCTCGCAACACAAGGAGGACGGACACCCGCGGGTCCGTCCCATCCGAGGGCCCCCAGGCGGTCCCGGAGCTGGGTCCCACCCCAGCGGGAGTCAGTGCTCTGCGGGACGGAGGCCCGCCCACACTCGGGGGCGCAGAGAGCGTCCTGGGGCGGGGGGACGGATCTGGGGAGGGGCAGCGGGGGTCTGCCTGCTCTGGGCTCCAGGCAGGGATGGCCGCCGCTCGGACCGCGTGTGCCAGCGGTGGGGAGCCCGGGGTGGCCCCCCCGTCGGCAGCCTGGCTCCCCCAAACCCCCGGGCCTGCGTCCGAGGCGCCCACACACAGACTGCCCTCCACACCCAGAAACCCCCGAGGGCTCTCCCAGAAGGGAGCCGGGCCGGTCCCCGCGGCACAGGGCCACCGCCCCGGCCAGGCTCCCGGGCTGGGGGCACGCCCGGGGGTGCCACGCAGCCTCCCCCCCAGATCTCTGCCATCCCCTAACACAGCCAGCCACACGCCAGGCCCACCCGGGTCCCACAGGCCTTGGGCCGGGGGTGGCCAGAGCCCCGTCCTTCGTCAGAGGCTGACCGTGGCCGGGTGGGAGGGAGTGCCTCAGGAAACAGGCCTTCTGTCCCCACAGGAATCGTCCGAGGAGGTCTGGGGCGGGCCCTGGGATGGTCCCGGCCACCCAGGAGCCGTGCTCGGTGGGGACGCGAGGCCAGCGTGCAGCCCACGCCGTCCCTGACAGGCTGAGACGCCGCGCGTGGGCACCCAGCCGGGACACCCAGCCGGGACACCCAGCCGGGACCGTGCACATCGGTGTGGAGCGGGCCAGGGGGGACCGGGGGGACCAGGGGAGACCAGAGGGGACCAGGGGGGACCAGGAGGAAACAGGGGAGACCAGGAGGAAACAGGGGGGACCAGAGGGGACCGGGGGGACCAGAGGGAACCAGGGGGGACCAGAGGGGACCAGGGGGGACCAGGGAGGACCAGGGAGGACCAGGGGAGACCAGAGGGGACCAGGGGGGACCAGGCGGGACCAGAGGGGGGCCAGGGGGGGGGGACCAGGGAGGACCAGGGGGACCAGGGTGGACCAGGCGGGACCAGAGGGGACCAGGGGGGACCAGGCGGGACCAGGGGGGACCAGGCGGGATCAGAGGGGACCAGGGGGGACCAGAGGGGACCAGGCGGGACCAGAGGGGATCAGGGGGGACCAGGAGGGACCAGGGGGGGACCAGGGGGGACCAGGTGGGACCAGGGGGAACCAGGTGGGACCAGAGGGGACCAGGAGGGACCGGGGGGGACCAGGGGGGACCAGGTGGGACCAGGGGGAACCAGGGGGGACCAGGGGCGACCAGAGGGGGCCGGGGGGACTGGGGGGACAAGAGGGGAACAGGCAGAAACAGGCGGGGCCGGGGAAGACCCGGAGCTCCCGGCTGTCCTCACCGCTCCATGGAGCCCGGCCCTGGGCCCCCGCAGGGCTGTGGGCTGGGGGCAGCCGGGGCGTGGCCCCTGAAGCACAGCTGCAGGGCCGCGGGCGACCAGGGAAGACCCCCCCAACCACATGGCACAGAGCGAGGTGGGCGTTCGGCCCGATCCCCCGGCGCCCCCCCAAGAGGAAGCCGGCGCAGTGGCTGAAGAAAGGCCCCCTGCAAAGGGGGGGTCTGAGGCTCATTCCAGAACCCGCCGTTCCGGAAGCTTCTCTCTGCCTCTCCTGTTCACAGCCGGCCTTGGCAGGGAGGCATACGGTTACCTCTGCTCTTCACCCGCCGCTGACCTCGGGTGGACCCCCGCTGGCCGGACACGCCCCTTCTGGAGGCCGGGAGCCCGGTCACCACCCCCCCCCCCCCCCCCGGCCAAGGCTGCGCCCTGCTGAAGCGCCTCTTTATTCCGGGAGCGGGGCCCTCGGCATGGCCTCGCTGGCCGGCCGGCCGCTGGCAGCGTCTGAGGCCGCTCTCGGCCCTGCCTCCACACCCCGGCACACGTTTTAGGTGTGTTTTGATTAAGCGTTTTAGCCAAAAACGAGAGGTTTGACCTCCGGCATTTCACTTTTCTCGCGGGTATCAGTGCCAGCACTGAACTAAGTGGGGTTGGTCAAAATATCTCTTTTGACTCTTAAAATAAATACCCTCTGTTCTCCGAAGAGCCGGCCGGAGCAGACAGACGGACACCGACGCCTCCCCGGCTCGCAGCTCCGGGGCTCTGGCGTGGCCCCCGAGGGGGCTAGGCCTTCTGCTCGGTGTCGCAAACGGGTCCCAGACGGCTCTCTGTCCCCGCAAGCCCGTCTGCAGGGGCGAACCGGACGGAGCCCGGCCCTGCGGCTCCCACAACCGAGAGAAGCGGGCGCAGCTCCCCGCCCGTCCCCAGCCGGCCCCG